ACAACCATTCGTAGAAACCAACTCGAATCACGAGTTGAGGAAAGAGTCTAAATGTCGGAACTGGTCAATCACCCGATTGATCAACCTATTCACCTGCTTTGTGTATAAATAAAATGTTTTCCTGCTTTTTTTTAGTTTTAACTATGCTGCGTGCAACAATGGCCATAACACAAGATTTCAAACGTCAATGTCTCCTTTTATGCAGGTTTGACTTTCGGTTTGTCGAACAGCCAATCATCCCGAACCAGAAATCATTTCTCTTTGATCGTCGTTTTCGCTGGAACCGGTTCGGGATGTTTGGAATACCCCGTCAAACAGTGGGTAGTAATTTCAGGAAGCAATTTTCGCGCTCGATTTTGCGCGGTATTTCAAATGTTGCAGCGCAATTGCACCTCGTTACGTTTATCGTCACACAAGCAGTCCATCGAACAAACCTCATCTTTATAATTCTAAAAGTTAGGCAAGAAAATGTCAGTTCTTGCCATATCTGAGGTATCAGTCTGGTCAAATATGACGAGGCGAATCATTTCAATCACCTGCATCGTTCCTCGATCATTATAGATAGCGCTGTGTCCAAATTCAGCTTATCTTTACGACGTGCCCTGTGAACAACCTATATCATTATGGCAGTCAAATTAAAGCATGCAAAGAGCTGCTGTAGGGTTCTGTAGTGAACCAGGAAACTAAGCCGTCATCAAATGTATCTTCGTTTCATAAAGCTTTGGAAAACAACCCCTTCGTGCAACGAATATGCTGCTCAATGATTGGAGCTTCAAAAATAGACCAGCAAATTCATTGCATTTCCAACAGTGGGCCGAGAATCGAATACTAAAATCTTGCAATAGCTTCCATTCGATGGTATCTTGAAGTGCAGTTAAAATGCCCAGGATCATATGATAAATAAACGAAAAGAATAGTAACTGCAATAGATACTTATTTAAACTGAAAAGGGATATGATTTCGAAAGATTTTCTTCCCAAAAATCGTCAATGCAAAAGTTTCATCAAGATTAAGAACAGGGAGGTGCCATCGTCTATGGAATGCTTCTCGCTCGAAGTACAATTGCCGTAGTTTTGGCAGGCAATCACCGCACCAGAAGAAAACGCCGTTGACCGTATCATGTGGCAGGCAGTGAAGGACTGTAGGCATAGGTCGCGTCGCTGTGTCTGGGAATCCACCTTAATTTCTTGGTTAAAGACCGGGGCCGTTTGAAAAATGTTTTAAATTGCTGTCCCGTCACCCTACAGGACTACTAGGCTATGAAAACGTACGAACGAAAAGCTTGTTCCTTCAACTTATTCT